CTTGGTGAACTTGATCGTTTTGGTGCGGGAGCTATAATAGGTCATATTCAAATTGACCGTAGACAAATTCTAGGACTGTCTACCCTTGCATATAAAAATTAATTATTTATATTATATTTTAAATTATATATGATTAAATTTATTTTCCTTGTCTTTCGAGCGCTGATTTCTTCTTTGTTAGTTAATTTTATTTTCCATGGTATGCAAACTCAAAATTACTGATCAACACATCTCGTGTTCTATGTTTTCAAACATTTCTTTTACTCTTAGAGTGCCATCCATGGTAGTACATTCATCATCGCAATACATTATGCCAGTCACTTTGTATAAGAACCACCCTGTAAGGACTAAAGAGGCATTCTTTTAAATCGCTACATTTTTTAAGATTGTCCACAATGTAAGCTTTGAAAACAAACAGTAAACAGGTCATTGTGGGTTAGACTGATGGGTTGGGTCAGGATACTCATTTAATAAACAGGTTGGGTAGCATGACCCTTTTGTTAAATGGGTCAGATTTGGGTCAAGCTTAGATCGGTTGGGTCAATGTTGACCCGACCCGACCCATTTGCCACCCTAATTGTATGCATGCATTAATGTATGTATGGAAAATTTTCAAATGGGAACTCCATGGTAAGAATTTAAAGAACATAATGGGCTATCCCATGGATGCCCAGTTAACTTGTCTAATACAACAAAAATAATTAACAAGGGGTCAGGTAAATCCAAAACTTCCCACTATATTCAAAGCTAATTGCAAAAATATACTATTTTAATCATGGAAACATATCTCATTTATGGATAAAGAGCACTGAAACTTCTTGACCTTTCATTCCAAGCTATTACGGATAAGGAAAATGACTTAAGGACCCAAAATATGGGACCAATGGAGGGGACAGGTGAGGTGTCCCCTCCCTTGGTCCCATATTTTGGGTCCCCGTAGCAGCACTCTACGGATAATAGATCAAGATGAGAGGTCATACTGACGAAATATGAATTATCATGGCCTTCTCAAAATTCTGACCTCGAGAACCAATTCTGTCCCAAAGATCTCATGGACAAACACACTCTCATAATTTTTATAAAAGCACCAAAATATTTCTGTTGAAAGCAATTTTGGACCATTGGATTATTCATCTAAGTTTCGACCATCAACCTTAATACCTGAAAGTTTTATTAAAGAGTAAGTATTTTATACTAATTCTCCCTCCTTCCCTCTAATCTATATCCACTTCAGACCAGAGTCGTTTCTTTCTATTCCCATGACAGGGTTGCAGTGATGTACAGATACCATGAGCTCCCTTCTTTATAAGTTTATGTTAATCCGTAAAACACTTAAACTCTGTACACAAATTTTTTTGCAGGAAATCTTTCGAGAGTTTAGTGGGAAATTCTCTTAAGTGACTTTATCTGAACAAATTTCATCTATAAAATCATATGCACTTTTCATGCACATGAATCCTGTACCTTGAAGTCAACATATAAATGCAGGCAGGCAACGATTTACTTAATATTACTATAAACATTTAAAAGCAGTCAGTAAAATGTACAACATGGTAGTAGTTCATGTTTTCAGTTACTAAGCATGATAAACATCATGAAGGAACCAAGGTGGAAGCCCCAGAAAATGATGACTAAACAGAAGAAATTTATAAAGCAAAAGCAATCTACCTCATGAAATACTGCAGATACGAAAAACGAAATAAAAATGGCAACTCCCTGCAAAAAAGTAAAAAGTAAAAATGAGAGAGAATTGTGTATGCTCGAATTTTTTAATGGCAACAACAAGGGAAGCTTATCCCAACAATTTATTTAGCAACCAACTAAAAGAAAACACAAAATGAAATCAATTCTATCCATTAGTCTATTTAGTAGTAGCTTTACTTGGACCTTCACTTGACTGACTGGTCCTAAGGCTCAGACTGCAATATTATTACAAGACCAGGAGTACATGGTCCTGCTTCAAATCCATCTTTAAAAAATAATAATTAAATTCTCTTTTTTATGTACAGTTCCCACTTAGAAAGAGCTGTCATCTATGTATATTTTATACTACACGTGTAAAAGTCCACCATATTGGAAATGTTCATACTGAAAGATACAAAATAGATCCAATGGGTATAAATACCTAAACTTTCTGTAAGAACGGAAAAAGGAAAGGATACTCTGGCATGAGTATGACATACAAAAGTTCTAGTGTATATGCCTCTTGATACATGCAACAAGAACATACTACTCCTTGTGAAGAAGAATATAGAGAAGATATTTCAGCAATTTGTAGCAAGTAAGGTGTAAACACACATAAGTAACCTGATTAAATACACGTCTGGCTCATATGGATATCTATTATCCTCTGTTTAAAATATGGACAATATATAAAAGATTACTGAGAAAAGATATACCAGCAATGCATACCTGCTAGGGTGCGCAAGAACACATAAATAATCTGATTACATATATGTGTTTGAGATATATGGATATATGCTATCAATTTGTTTAAAACTAGATACTAATATGAATAGTGCTTGACTATCCTCAAATTGCATTACAATATAACATGTTACATGACATTAAAGTTAGGGTGTGTTTGGCAACTCTACAAGACTCGTTTTAAGTGATACAACATTGGTCCAAACCCTTGTTTCTAGTTTGGCAAAAATTAGGCCCAAAATGAACTAGTTCTTTCTAGCTTAAAATCTTGCCCCTAAACTAGCTCTTTTGTGAACCAACCATTATATGGTTCAACTTTGGCCTAGTTAAGAAAGAACTAGTGTAGCCTAGTTCAATTTCGAAGTTGCCAAGCACACCCTTAAAGTCAGTTTCACTATATCTTGATTACTCACAAGAAAACAAGTCTAATTTTATATGCTACCTTAGCTTAATACAAAAGAATGTCTAAATTAAAAGAAGAAATCCACTTACCATCCTGCTTTTAGCCGTAATAATATCCAGCTACCATTCAAATTCATTCTGAATATTAAGCCGCATTTACAAAATATGGGTATCTACATTGACATTTGAAATTATCTATATTCATATCCAAAAATATTCCCTTAAGCACCAGGCGCTTTTTTAAACATTTGTCAGGGTCATCGCCAGCTATACCATTCAATCTTTCCCTCTCAGAGATTAATTAGAAATTAATTTTATTAGTGGTAGATTACTCTTTAAATTTATACAGAATGTGATGTAATATACTGGGTATTTCCATATGAAGAGTGTTTTAACTCAATGTGGGAGATCTGGAGGGTATATTCACAAATATCTAGATTTGTAAGGTAAACTTGAAAATAGGGATAATTTTGGGGGTATATATGCAAAAAAACCTAATAATAATTAAGAAAATTGAAGAAAACACAAAAAAAACTATTATATATATTTTTGATGTATTAGAGATCGTTGACTCACAGTCACTGGAGAAGGCTTGAGAGAGTCACTAGTGGCAAATCAGCAACGAGATGTGGCGAACCAGCTACGGAAGGGGAGTGCTAGGGTTTTGGGAGAGGAAAAGAGCAAGGGTGGGAACGGAGACAAACAGGATTCGTTTTTAGTTTTAAAGGTTGGATTTGAATTGGATGGATAACGTTTATCAGATCCAAAACCCAAACCAACAAGCTGAAGACTGAACTGGTCGGGTTTGCTTTTTTCTAGAAAAGCTTTGTGGGCCAGAAAAAAAAAGAGAGGAGCTTACCAGCCCCAGCACCTAACCCACGAGGTTAAATACAATTTTAGGCAGCCTGGGCACTGCCCCCACTAGGCGGCCACCCAGGTCGCTTTTTAAGAGATCTGCTAAAAGAATAGAAATTCAACATCTTAGCCTCTTCGTTTTTACCCCAGTGTATCCAGATCTGCTAAAAGAATAGAAATTCAACATCTTAGCATCTTCATTTTTACCCCTACTAGGAAGACACACACACACACACACACACACACATACATGTGAAACTCAAGGATACACTATCCATAGTTGAACAAATTAAAGATGTCAAACATGCATAAACTATATTTAGTAAGAAGAATTCAAGGAGCACTTATGACATTATCCATTGACCTGTAGACACGTGTATATAAAAAAAGTATAAAGATGATATGAAATGATCATTTTCCAATGTGAAAACATCAGTATAAAGATGAAATTGTTACCTTGGGTATACCATTCCTTAAGCAAGGAAAATAAATATGTCGTACCATCCACTTATGAACGGGCTGCAAGAAACCACAAATACAATCACAATGAAGAAAAGAATCTATAATAAATAAATGCATGACATAAATCAACTTTGACAATCGACTGCATATGCGATAAAAGGGACCACATACTGGAAAGGTGACAATGTAATAATTAAACCAATATAGTCACACCTAATGATCAGAGTAATTTATTGCTTAAAAAGACAAAACGCAAGAAATACTAATCCTAAATAGTCTAATAATAGGAAACAAACGGCAATGACAAAATTGGACTTGTCCTGCATTCAATTGATAATGAGCTAGTTATAGCTCCGAAACTACCAAGATGAGGCAGAAGATGTATCAAAAATGAAGGGAAGAAGTTTGAGGTAAAAGAAGATTGTTTATAAGAAAGTTGGGACATTTAATAGTTCCTAAACGAGATTGATTACTTGTGAGCGAGAAAATAACATAAAACCAAAGTAGTTAAGAACAAGCGACAAGAGCAGTGTCCCTTGTCAGTAGGACAAGAAAAAGCTTATTTAGATGATAACATATGGAAAACCATTTATTAGCAACTGCTACATATAGGTATGTTGTTTTTCAAGATATGGTACTAAATTGGTGAATTAGTCACCCCTAGTATGGAATAACTTTAAATTAGGTTAATGACATACCATGTTCCACAAACGCCAATACTGTTGCAACCCCATTGAAGCAAATATGCAAAGAGAAATTACATATTTAGTATATTGTACCTTTTTATGCCAGTAGAGAGAAATAAAACTCTTCATTGCAAAAAAAAAAAAAAAAAAAAATCAAATTCCAACCGACCTCTTCAATTGTTTGAGCATTCCACCAATCCTTGTAGAACTCACGATCACCAAATCGAAGGATCTCAGCAAGTATATTTAACCTAAAGCAAGAACACTCAATTCCTCTGTGTACTCCAAGATGCAAATGTTTCATTAAAAAAATGACTAATCAACTGAAAAATTTTCAAACTGTGTCTTGTTATTTGTTGTTTATTAGTCAACAGAAGTAAATTCAGTATTACTAGAACACATCTAACCAAGTTAATTAACAACACTGCTCAAACTTATGCAGGAAAATTTATTTTTAACCCCCCCCCCCCCCCCCCCCCCCCCCCCCCCCCCCAAAAAAAAAAAAAAACAAAAAAACAAAAAAAATCACGTGCGCTGAAATACTGTACATTAGGGTACTTATTCGCTTTGGTCAAAATAGCAAGGCAACAGCATCCTATACACCTATGCGAACTGTTCCACTTACAACTTCAAAATTAGGCAAAATAAGGTTCTTAGTCTATACTTTATATGTTTTTTACGTCTTATGTGTTCAAGAAATTTTGAAAGTCAAGACATTTAAATATTATATAGCAAATATACTGAAATGCATAATTAGCTTTCTAGGTTCTACTTTTCTCCTATTAGCTTTCAAAAATGGCAAGTGCACCAAAAAAAATGTAAAACATACAGTGTACCGAGCTTGTAACCAAAAGAAACCAACCACCCACTGAATTCATAATAACTAATTGGTGAATTGCATAAACGAACTCGTAACAGCTCATTACGCACCACGTACCATGTCAACTAAGATTCAGCTGAAAAAAAATGTCACGGGTTACACTAAAATTTAACAAGAGCACTATTATGTGATTTTCAAAACCAAATGACAGCTCTATGGACCCAGGATGTTCCACTTAGGAGGCTGGACATAGCAATGGTGTATGATGAGAAATGTCTTATAGACCGGTAAAGACTGGTCAAGTATCATATTAATTGACATGGTTGCCGCAAGATTTTAGTTTCTTCGCTTGTCCTATTTTGCCATGTGAACATAGGTTTTCTACTTATCTATTTTGCCACACGCACACTGGTTTCTACTTATTATCTGGGGTGCTTCAGAGATAAGACACTTTCCGCAATTCCAAGCATTCAAATGATTCACTTAAGAGGGTGTTAGTGTGCTGGAACTTTTTAACTACAAGTGAGACATGGGATAATTTTGTAAATAAAAGTGGAACATTTTAATAGGAGTATAGGACAATGGAGGATAATTTTTTGAAAGTGGGATATCTTCGTAAAACAGTGCGTAATAATTTGAGATAATCAAGAACTATAGTTTATGTACTTTGCTGACGAAATACTTTAATTTATAGATTTTTTAAAACTTACTATTATCAGTAACTAATTATTTAAATTAAATGTTAATAGACCTTTTAATAACTTGCTTCAAATTTATTCTTGTCTTCTAATGTCGTATGCTTTAACTCGTGAATTAATTTCGGTGTGTTTGTGTGTATGTGTGCGCGCACGCGTGTTATATATGTACATGTATGTATGTATATGTATATGTACATGTATGTATGCATATATATATATATATATATATATATATATATATATATATA